AGTAGCAAAAGTAAATTAAGTTTAACAAGAGAAGAGCTTAACATTTGTACGTATTTAAACCTTCAGCCCAGTGGCATAGTGGTTAAGTTTGTACACTTTGCTTCAGCGGCCTGGGGTTTGCAGGTTCGGATCCTGGGCGCAGACCCAGCACCACTCATCAAGCCATGCTGTGGTGACATCCCACATAAAATAGAGGAAGAATGGCACAGCTATTAGCTCAGTGACAGTCTTCCTCACAACAAAAAGAAAAAAAAGGTAACCTTTGAAACCACTTAGTTAAATCTAGGTTTCACCTTATTTATGTGTTTGGAGAACAACTCTTCATTATGTGTCAAAATTATTATTTTAAATGAATCCATCTTGTCTTTCTCCACTTCCTAATTAAACTTAGTGTGTTTTAGAAATTTTTGTTTCTTACTTGTTTTTACCAGTTCAGGAGTATCTCTGAAGCACTAACAGGTCACTTCAGGATTTTTTTTTCCCCCAAAGATTTGCCTTGAGCTAACATCTTGTCAGTCTTCCTCTTTTCTTCCCCCTCCCTAAAGCCCCAGGGCATGATTGTATATCATAGTTGTAAGTCCTTCTACTTCTTCTATGAGAGCCACTGCCACAGCATGGCACCTGGCAGCTGGGTGGTGTGGTTCCATGACCGGGAAGCAAACCTGGGCTGCCAAAGTGGTGAAAGCGCCAAACTTTAACCACTAGGCCATCGGGGCTGGGTCCAGAATTTTTAAAAAAGAGATTACAACCTCAGTAAAATAGGAAGTATGTTTTACTATTCTTTTTGGACAATAAGCGATTTTCCTAAATGCATGGGCTTTGGCCTTTTCATGCTGGATTATTTACATTTGATCCCCATTGCTGTCTGGACTCGATGATTGCAGAATCTTTAGAAAATCATTTCGACATTAAGGTTATAACACATCTAATCGAACACAAACTTAAACTTCAAATTGAGAGCTGGAAGGGTCTTCGATACTCCCTAAAGATGTCAAAGACGGTTGGCTCGGTTAGGCAGAGAAAGCTCCTGGCCTGAGGTTCCTTGACTGTTGGGTGTTTGGTGTTTGCTTCTCTAGCACCGTTGTACTTTCCTCAAGTTCATTTTCTTCTGCAAACTTTTCACCACTACAAGTTTCAGCACATGACTAGCTGATAGTCTAAGGCCTTGCCATGTTTATTGGCACCATTTTGAAAAGGATTCTCAGGCTTTCATTATGCAATACATTTATGGAGCACTTACTAATACTCCTAGCTAACATTTATTCAGTGCTTGCTGTGGACCTGGAATTTTACACGTTTTGAATTTGAAGTACAACCTACATACACAGACCTTAAGTATATGCCTTCGTGCATGCCACTTCCATTTCAAGTTATGGACTATTTCTAACCCCCAGAACAGGAATTGTCAAACTTTCTGTTAAGATCCTGATAGCAATTATTTTTAGGTTTTGTTGGCCATTTACTCTCTGTTGCAACTACTGAACTCTGCGGTTGTAGAATGAAAGCAGACAGAGATGACACATCAATGAATGAGAGGGACTGTTTGCCAATAAAACTTTATTTAGCTGGATTTGGCCATGAGCTGTAGTTTGCCAAACTCTGCCCTAAAAGGCTCCCAGATAGGAATTTTACATATAACCCTCCCAGTGATCATCTGAGGTAGATACTATTTTTTTATAGCTTTATTGCAGTATAGTTGACATACAATAAAATGTACAATCTAGTAAGTTTTGACATATGTATACACTTGTGAAACATCGCTATAATCAAGAGTGCAAACATTTCCATCACCTCAAAGATATTTCCTTTCGCCCCTTTGTAATCCATCTGCCTGCCATGCCCAAGGCAGTCATTGATCTGCTTTCTCTTACTAGATCGCTATAGTTTTCATTTTTTAGAATTTGACATAAATGAACTCATAGAGTCTTGCTCATTCGCCCTCTGGTCTGGCTACTTTCACTCAGCATAGTTATTTTGAGATTCATCTATGTTGTTACTTTTATCCATAGGTTGTTTCTTCCTCCTACTGTTAAGTTGTGTTCTATTGTGTGGATATACCATAGTTTGTTCTTTGCTATGTGGATAGACATTTGGGTTGCTTCCAGGTTTTGACATTTAAAAGCAAATCAGCCATAAGCATTTGTGAACATGACTTTGTATGAATATGCGCTTTCATTTTGTTTGGGCAAATACCTAGGAGTGGAATGCATTGGTCGTATAGTAGATGTATGTTTAAGTTTTTAAGAAACTACCAAATTGTTTCCCAAAGTGGTTGTACTATTTTAAATTCTTATTCTCACCAGCAGTGTATGAGAGCTCCAGTTGCTCCACATTCTCACCGATACTTGGTATAGTCAAACTTTTTAATTTTAGTCATTCTTGTGGGCATGAAGGGGCAGCTCATTGTGGTTTAAATTTGTATTTCCTTAATAATTAATGATGTTGAGCATCTTTTCTTCTTCTCATTTGTCATTGTATGTTCTTTGATAAAGTGTCTGTTCCAATCTTTTTGCTTGCTTTTTTATTTGGATTTTTTATCTTTTTACTTTGAAGTTTTGAGAGTTCTTTATATGTGCTGGGTAAAAGTCCTTTCTCAGATATGGGATTTGCATTTTTTCTCCCAGTTTGTACCTTTTCTTTTCATTTGCTTAACAGTGTAATTGACGCTATGATGAGTTGCCATATTGTGTGGTTGTTAGAAAGCACACTCTGATGTTGAGACTGTAAGGGAGTTTTCAATCCTAGCTTTGGAACCTAAAGAAAATTAATTGATATTTCTAAACCACAAGGTCCTTCTCAAAAATTCCTTGTCATACACATTTCTGGTTTTCGTATGCTTTGCTAGGAAGTTTATATGAGTCTAAATTTGAATATGATTTAGTATAATTGGTAGAAATATTTTTAGGGATTTATAAATGATTCAGTAAACAAAGCAACAGTCACGGAAGCTTGAGAGCGCTTTCTAACTTGTGGATTTCTGTACTTTTACTGACTTGGGACCCTATCCTCTCTTCTAAGTCACAGGGATAGTCCAAAGGAATGCTTTCTTATAACTATGCAATAATCTTGTAATCTGGACTATCTGAATGAAGCTAATTTCCCTTGTTGCCGTAGTCATTTCATATTTAATAATTAAAATTCATAAAAATGGAAGTCGTTGGTAGTGTGTGCTCTCTAGTTAAAATTGGAGTTGGAACCACTTGATTGCATCTACCTAGTCTTTTTGCAGAATAGTGATACTGATTTTGAACAGTTGGCATATCCTCTGTGATTATTAAATGTATGTTTATGGAAAATTGTATGATGTTAACTTTTTACAAATGTCGGCACTGTGACCAAATAAACTGTATACTTGGCTGATCAGATTCACATTACCAATAAAATATGAGTATGATAGTGGGGTTTCATATGTGACCATTTGTTATAATAAAATTCAGACCCCTGGGGGCCAACCCGCTGGTGTAGTAGTTAACTTCGTGTGCTACACTTTGGTGACCAGGGGTTCACGGCTTTGGATCCTGGGGGCAGACCTACACACCACTCATCAAACCACACTGTGGTAGCATCCCCCATAAAATAGAGGAAGATTGGCACAGATGTTAGCTCAGCGACAATCCTCCTCAAGCAAAAAGTGGAAGATGGCCAACAGATGTTAGCTCAGGGACAAGCTTCCTCACCAAAAGAAAAAAATTCAGACCTCTGGACTATCATAATATAGCTTCAGATAAGCCTACATGAGGAGTTGTCACAGAACAAATGAACTTTAAGTTTATCCACTTAAGCTTGACTGTTGTATTCTTCCATTATTCCATTAAGCAACATCTAAAATTGTATGATGGCATAGTAGAATTTGGAAAAGAAAGCATATTAATTTGGGGGTAGCTCTTCATTTGTGACTATTAATAAAATGTAGACAAAGCATGTGTTTCATCATGTGTTTTAGTAGGAAAGTGCCCTAATGTTTTTATCACTGGTCAGAGAGTTATAAATCTTAGATTTGTCTTGATTGCCAGTCATCTTTCCTTAGCACTCTAGTGGGCAACTTGACAGACTGAAGATGCAAGATTTAGAAGTCAAGGCAACTGCAAGATAGCTCAGAATGGCTGGCATCATATTTCTGTAGCACGTGGGAGTCAGAAGACTCAGGTTCAAGTCCACTCTTCCTTAGTTGGTGCTGTGTGCTCCTGGCAAAGCAGCTCTGTGTTTTCCTGTCTGTCAGATGAAGATAAGGGTCCTTCCTGTGTCAAAGAGTAGTATGATGTCAGATAGTGAGAGAATGCTTTGCAAAGTCCTATGCGGTGTGTTAAGCAGTAGGTTTTTTCCCAAAGTGTATAAAATGTTGAATTATTTTAAAACTACAGTGATATTTGAAGAATTCTGTAATTGATCCTTCTTTTCATAACACAACCAGTTGTGCCACTTTTTGTTCTAAAATAGTAGGTTTGCATATGTCTGCCTCAGATGAGAGGAGTCTTCGTATTGAGTGGAGAGCGAGTATAGGCTAGAGATGGGAAGGAAAAAAAACATGAGCTCTTTATGTCGTGTCTAGTCCTAATCTTTTTGACTAGCGTTTTACCCACTATGCTTATCTGCTTCCTGCAAGTTTCATTTTCTTCTATTCTTGTCTCTTCTTCCCTCCACTCCCAGTTTCCTTTTTTCTGTTAATACTTCTTTTCTCTTAGACCAAGGCGGGTGGAGGAGGAAAATGGTAGCTTTTAAGAACTGTAGCTTTAAGTACTGTCATCTTGATGTTTATGGAGAATGTGTTGTACATGCACAGAACATAGAACTAGTTAAATATGTACTCAGACCATGTGATCAGCCCCTTCTGCAGTGTGGGTTGTAGTTCTGTGCATATGTCCTTAATACTACCAGTATCTGTTGTTATGGAATGAGAGATATGTGTTTATAACATTATTCTTGGGTTCAGAGGGGTTATATCGAAGTATAGACTCTGTCTGAATTATGGGTTTTTCATCTCTTATTATATTTATTTCTAGGGCAGGAGCGTTTTGGCAACATGACCCGAGTATACTACAAAGAAGCTGTCGGGGCTTTCGTAGTCTTTGATATATCAAGAGGTTCCACGTTTGAGGCAGTCTTAAAATGGAAGAGCGATCTGGATAGCAAAGTCCATCTTCCAAATGGCAGCCCTATTCCTGCTGTCCTCTTAGCTAACAAATGTGACCAGAAAAAGGAAGGTGGCCAGAACCCTCCCCAGATGGACCAGTTCTGCAAAGAACATGGCTTCACTGGATGGTTTGAAACCTCTGCAAAGGTGAGAACGGCTCTGCTGTTGACTTGTTAATCTGAGCTGTAACTATTCGGTGTTTAGATGGGTCTGTGTGCCTGGTCCTTGGAAGCCTAGTGTGGGTGTGTTTTAGCTTCTTTCAGTCAGCAGCAGGAAGGCTTCCAAAACTGGTTAGTGGAGAGGTGAATAGAAGGGTAGATTTTACATTAAAATAAAAATGAGCTATGATTTAGAGCAAAGGACAGTGACATTTTCTGTGAATTTGAGTCTTTAAATGAAGCATTTCTCATGCAACTGGAGTTTATGGGGAACGAAGTGTGTTGACAGGCACAAGCATTTTTGGTTTTTACAAAAGGCTTACCGAGCTATAGACACATAGATGCGCCTTGTGAAGATACCGGGTGTGTGCAGGACTAACAAAGGTGTTGTAAAGGTCAGAGAGAAGTTGTAGTCAGATGATGTTTGAGGAGTTTCATCTTAACTGTGTGTGACGGAATTTGAACAAGAGGAAGAGGTGTCAACATTTGTGACATGCTTCTTCATGAATAGTAGAGTGGGAAATTTTTCTCTCATTCATTTTAGGAAGCTGGGTAAAATGTTTTTTGCAGAAAAAGAAAAATTTAAGTTGACTGTTGAAGAATCCTAACAGTTTAGATATACAAGAAGAAAAAAGTGAAAATTACAAGCACAGAATTTTGAGGGCGAAGGGTACTTCTTTATGTGCATTGAAAGTTTCACCTTAGAGATCAGATGACAATCAGACTTATGTAAGAATGACGAAAGGTTTGAGAACTTCTGTGGTGACAAACGCGAAACTATAATTTTTTTTTCCTCTAAAGTTTGCCACCTGGGCTAACAACTGTTGCCAATCTTTTTTCTTCTTTTTCTCCCCAAATCCCCCAGTACATAGTTGTATATGTTAATTGTGAATGCTTCTAGTTGTGGCACGTGGGACGCCACTTCAACATGGCCTAACGAGCAGTGCCACGTCTGTGCCCAGGATCCGAACCAGTGAAACCCTGGGCCGCCGGAGCAGAGCGTGCAAACTTAACCACTTGGCCATGGGGCCAGCCCCTCGAAACTATAAATTTGGTATAATCTTAACACAGGTCCAGCTTTTAGGATGCCTTCTGTGAATTTCTTGTATATATTTTAAGAAAGTATTGTTCTTCCAAATCACCCACTTACTACTTTTAGCTTACCAGAAACCCACCCAAAAAGTGGAAGGTTATTTGGTGCCACTGATGATCAGGATAATGAAAGCAAAGCTATGAGAGACCGCACAAAAGAACTACTTGGGAAATACTGAGTGATGATGGAATGATTGGAAAAAATAGTGTCTGCTGGAGGCAGAAGTGTTTACTCCTAAGCTAAAGGCAATTTGTTTGAATAAACATATTCCACCATCTTCAAATTTAGTTTTATAAATGAAAGTAGAGGTGGAAAAGAGATGAAGCCCAGAGGTGCTGCACCAGCACTTAGACAAGAGGGGAGAGATCACAGAGGAAAGGGTTCTTATAGGAACTTATTGTGGAAGCCATGCCGTCTGCTATGTGTGTGTCAGGTGATTTACGTTACTTCCTGTCTTTGCTGGAAAAAAATTAGTAGGTATGTGTAGATGTTCATTAGAGCATGAAATCTGGTGGAAGAGATGTATGTATTACAGATAAAATTTCCTCTTTAGGTTTTATTTGAGTTAATCATTTAGGTAAGAAATCCAAATTTGTCCCCAGAATCGAGAGGAAAGAGTCGTAAACGATAGTATCATGTGACCTGTAGCTTGAGACTGCGTAAGTCTCCAGTTTTGTTAAATTTATGAACGGGGTTACATGTAGAAGTAAGGAGGAAACATTGGCTAAGAGTAAAAGTTTCAGGTATGCTGTGCTTTCCTGTAAATGTATTAGAAGCACCATCTGCAGAATTTCCTTAGTAATAAACCAAGATGTTCCAAGAGAATAACAGTAATATAAAATTCAGGTTAGACATTTTAGTCAAGGCTTAAAGTACTGCCTAAGTGTCACCAAAACCTATACTTCTGAGCTGGCCAGCAGCTTCTTTCAAATCTGATTTTTGCTTGAATTCCAGCGATCTGAATTCCAATAGGAATGTAGCTGAAACACAGTTTTGATTGCATGAATTTTATCTTTTTACTCTTATAGCAAATAATAGATTTCTAATAGGAAAAAGTGTGACTAATTACACTATAATATGGAAATTTCTGTCCCTAATCGATTGCTACTAAATGCGTTTAGAGAACATTATAATTATTTATATAATGGGGATGGTGGGGGCTGAATGATATTTGGACATTCAAAGATCAATACTGTAATTAAAGTGAACACTTACCTTGAGAGTAGAGGCAAAAAGCTTGTGCTGATGCGGGAAAAAATGCCTGAATAAATAGCACAGGGCTCACTCACAAAGTGATGGAGACATGTCACAAAGCCACAGGAGCCTACTTACAGTAGCTCCAAAATCTAAGACCATTTGAGCAACAAAGTAAATAATATTGTAATGGATTTAATTCATAGGATAAAATAATAGCTCATGATATGAATAAACAAATGAATAAATAAATGGGAGAGAGGTGAAGGCCCTTCCTAACAGTAGAATTCCAACCAATAAAAGTAGAAGGAATGATGGAAGTAGAAAGTCACCATTGAATACCACAGTAATAATGGTTTTAGGGAGAATTAATTGAAGCTAAAATGCTAAAATGAGTGGGGAAAAAATATGGTGAAAAACAGGATATTTACATATTTGTACTTGCCAAATGCAAAGCGAAAAACAGTAACTTTTTGGGAGAGAAGCCTCACAGACCTGACTTTAAGCAAATGTGCCTCCTCGTACACTGAGGGCAAATCACTTAATGTCGTATTCCTGCCAAAAATGCATAATTTGAATTTAATGATAAGGAAACATCAAACAGACCCAAACTGAGGGATGGTCTCTGGCCAGTACTCGCCAGGAGTGTCAAAGTCATGAAAGACAAGGAGACTGAGGAACTGTCCCAAATTAAGGGAGACTGCAGAGATGGGACCACGAAATCCAGCTGCTCACCTGCATCAGCAACGGGACCTTGAGACGGTTGGTGAAATGTGAATAGACTGGAGAGATTAATGCTGGTGCAGTGACGTTATCTAATTTCCTGGTTTTGATAATTGTGCTCTAGTTAATCTCAGATGTTGACGATTGAGGAATATGGGTGAAGATAGGAAGAATTTTTTACTATTTTTGCAATGTTTTTGTACATGTGAAATTATTGAAAAATGAAATGTTAAATACTCATTGTGTATTTAATGACAACTTATAAATCAGTCACACACATGTAATAGCTGCTGATTCCTTAGGCTATCCTTAGTGGACATCATGCCAACAATGTTGTTCCAGACTAATTTATACATGACAACTAAAAGTCATAATTACTCAGAGATGGGGGAGCAACATGTTGTATTTATCATATTTGATGTGGCCTGAGCCCTTTGCCGTTTCTCTTCACAATGTATCCTGGATACTTGAATTAGATGTTCAAGGGCAGAAATTTTTTCCTTTTAGTGCTTTCATTCAAGTGCGTGGCAACCCAGAGCCGGGTGAAGATTCGTTTTCAACCACAGAGATAGTTCTTTGAACCTGAGTGGCAAAGTTTAAAACCGGAACAGCAGAAAGGATGGATCTGTGTAAAAAGAAGAGGGGTCCTTAGCCGCATTACTCGATAGCATTGAACTCAGGGAGCAAGCACTTCAGATGGAGCTGATCAATGCCCCCTCTGATGAAGTTCCCCAGTTCCCGTTAATGCTCTTAATGTTTTCTCCTAAGAATTAATCCTAAGACTTGGTCCTGTTTCTCATATTACAGGATAACATAAACATCGATGAAGCAGCCCGGTTCCTAGTGGAGAATATTCTTGAGAACTACCAAAGCTTTCCTAATGAAGAAAACGATGGAAGCAAAATTAAACTGGACCAGGAGACCCCGCCAGCAGCGAGCAAATCCCAGTGTTGCTGACATGACTCCTGCTTCCCTGGTGCGGAATGCAGCCTGACTCGATGCCTCAGTTTGGAGCCAATTCCTGAGAATGGATTAAAGGTGGCGGTTGTGCTGCTCTGTGAATCTTCCCAGGGCTGCGCTTTAAAATGAATACTCTGGTTATTTTTCAGATCATATAAATCTTTCGCCTTTTAAAAAATGACAGTGATGGCTCCCTTGGGAGCCCAGCTGAAACAGGGCATTTGGTGAAGTGGTCCTGCTGGTGGCTCCATACCTTAATGCAGGAACAAACACTGAGGCCTCCATTCTTGTTGCCATTGTATTCATGAGAATGTTTACATCCTTTTAAACATCTTTTTAAATGAGGGTTCCTCAGGATTTGGTACAACTTCTAGGTTGTAGCCTTTAGTGAAAACACAGAGGTGTTAATAAAACTCACCTGCAGTCTTACAGTAATTTTATGAGTCTATTTTTGTCTCCATATTCCATCGTCACTTTCGAGAAAGGCTTTTAGACTCTGTTAGCTGCAGAAGGCTCGAAGTTCCTGTTTAGCAATTTTTTTTCTATTCCAAACTTTAGCACTTCACGTAAAATTGTTATCCTTAGATATTATAATTTAACTAGTCCTAGCTAGTGTGGCATGTGGTTATTCCACTCAAGCACATTCAAATTACCCTTCCTAATTACTCAAGGAGCACTGACACCACGCTAGTGTTCTGGATCTGGTTGCTACCAGTTGGAAATCATATAAATGAGCATTTGTTCTCTCTCTAGTCCTTTCTCTCTTCTTCCTGTGTGTTCACGGCTGTAACTGAGGTCCTCGTTGATATTACTGTGCAGCTCTAACTGGAGCTGGTCTTTTCAAATCTGAGAGAGTTTATTTCAAAGCACATACAATTAAATCTGAGTTGCTACAGTATGCATCGTGAAAGAAAGTCATGTGTGGTTTTATATAAAGTTTTGGACACAAAGTGTAACACATGAGAAATTTAAGGCAGGCTCACAATCTTCGTATCACGGTTTCACCCAATTAAGGAAAAGAATAAATGTTTTGACTGAAACTTTTAGTTTGAATTAATATAGTTCTAGAACATTAATATGGGGTAGACTTTTCTGCCTCAGGAAACTTTGTTCACTTTTTCCTCTTATTTTTAAGAGACTTAATGATATCGTGTGAAAGGTTCAACGTATCTTTTTCAAAGGAATTTTAAAGGTGTTTGTCACGTGATCCAAAGCTAATGTGAAATGAGGCATTGGCTAATTTTGTCTTATATGTTAAGTATGAACTTGGATAGGAAAAATCCGTGCATTTTTTGAGAACAGGACAAAAACTAGCAAGGAATTGCATTTGCTGTGACAGATGAGTTCTGGGAATAAATAGTAGTTGTCATGGGTCATAAAACCTAGCTGGTTCTTCTCCTTAAACCTAAGCCTTGGCTAGGAATCACAAATGTGTTTATATGTTATATACTGAAGTAAATAAACTCTTAAACTTCTCTGGACATGTGTTCTCTGTAGACTCAGGCTTTCTGAGTTTAAGGGGTAGAAAGAAGACCCTTACTTAGGTAATACTTATCATTTAATGTAACCCCTTTTAACTTGGTGACGACAATAATCCATAACCAATCTATAAATGAAAATCTGGGGTGAGTTTATTCTGAGGCAAATGTGAGGACCATATAGCCCGGGGGCCTTTTTTCCCCAAGGAAAGAAGGGCACCAAAGAAGTAGGGTGTTCAGAGTGGTTATATATCCTCAAAGAGCGTGTATCACATATGATTGAAATGTCCCTTTTACAGTAGTCACAAGACTGCTCTGTCAGCACAGCAATTGATGGACACAGCAGGAGACACGTCTGTTGTCTGGAGCTGGGCGGTCACAGGGTGGGCACAGCAATCAGTTCCTAGCCTGGGGAGAGATGCTCATCCTTAAGGAAATGCCAATGTGGGGGAAGTTGCACTTTTAAAGCCATTTTTTCTTGTTTTGGGGACATAGCAAATGCTTAAATCAGACATACAAGGCATGCTGAATGGCCACGTCAGGCCCTTTTGGAAAAACAAGGTCAGGCCGAATTAGGTTTACACCAAATGACTTCCTCCTATACTCCAGTATAACCTATTGCTTGCCATTTATCTGTCAACTTTTTAAAAATATTGCATTAAATCTCGCTTTCTAAGAAGCATGTGTCATACTCTAAAATTTTCCCTAGACAAGGTACAAAGTACAACTTCTTAACCTTTTTTTAATTCCGAAGTCCAGTAGTGTAAATGTTATGAAATGTTGGTGCCAAAACCAAAATGTTGTAAAGCTTATTTTAGGTAGTCACTGAAAGAGACTGAAGTTTGCTTGGAATCTTCTTTTTTTATATATTGACTTTCATTTTTATGGGAAATTCATTCTGTTTAAGTTGATTTAGCAGTGGATTCAAAATCAGGAAGGTTGTACTTTCTTTGCCCATCTTTACCATATTTGTTATCTTCTCTGAGGATCAGCACATGGTACCATAAATACTTGTTTCTCAGTAAACACTCAGGGTTCTGTGTGTCCGTGTGACAGAGCTCATACTATGTATCATTTTGTACACATTTCCTATAGTTTTGCTTTCCTCCTAAATTCTCAGTACAGTTTGTTTTTGTAACTTGAATGTAAAATTTGAATTTAGGATAAGCTATGTAAATGGTTAAAGAAAGAAGTGAATACTTTGGCTTCCTTATTCATTAATTGCTTAATGAAAATTCCTGAGCCTCACTTCAGACTTCCTAAATTCACTTTCTGGGGATGGGGCTCAGAAATCCGCTTTCAAAACTATCCAGTAATGTTCATTTGGAAAACCCCCTATAGAAAATAGCAATAGTTAAAGTGTTTAGTTTGAAATCTATGGTATTAGACAAAACATGAACGTTCTTAAAGTATAGCACTTTTCTTTCCACTTATAAGTCACTGTTATTAAAAAGTCTGAACACCTTAAACAGTGGACAAGCAGTATAAATTTGCTTTTATCCACTGACAAAAATAGAAGCTTAAGGTTTCTGACAGGCTGGACGAACCTACAAGTATTGTTGATAAAACTGGCCAGCCATTTGGAAAAAGGAAGTTGTATCTGTATCGCACTTATCTGAGTTCCCCAAAATGATACAATCTGGAAATTAATAACTTAGATTTAAAAACAAGAAATAAAACTGCCAAAACTTAAGCATGTATGGAAAAAATTTTGACATTAGGCTAAAAAAAATCCTTTTTTAATCCCCAAATGCTTAAAGCCAAAGAGGGAAAAAATAGATATGTTTGGTTGCATCAGTATATCTTGTATAGCAAGACAATATAAGTAAAATTATAGCAAGCAACAGAGAAAAAATATTTGCAATCCATATAGCTGGGTGAGGATTAATAAGGAGGATGAAAAGCTCTATAAGACAATGAGTAAAAATGGGCAAAGAATGTAAAACCAGCATTTTGCAGAAGAGGCAATTTGTGCATCAACTCTTAATAGCCAGGAAACCTAAAAAAAGTGTCATCAGATTCACAAAAAAAATATGAGTTTGATTGTATCCCTGATTTTGGTGACCATATAAGAAAACAGATATTCATAGTCTGTTGTTAACTAGATTTGCTTTGATAGATACTTCTAAGCTGCTCTCCCGCGTTACTGTGCTCTTTACGCTCCTGGTCCATGTCTTGCCAAGAAGGGGAGCTGCAGTTGTTGGGGAAATATAACTGAAAACGAAATCTCCTCCCAGCCCAGAAAACCTCTCTACAAAAGGAGAAGAGAAAGAAAGCAGTTTTATTATTGAATAAGCACGAAGCCAGAATGTGGTCATCGCAACAATGGTAATTGGTCACTGGGGTGACCATCTGTGTTAGCCTGTTGGCTTTATCCAAAGGAAAAGCAAACTTAAATCTTGATGGCAGGAGGTCGTTTTGTAAGTTGGTGTGAGGCTCCCCCCAAAGTCTGGCTCCTCCCCTTCCACAGAAACTAGGAGATAGGGGCTCTATGTCCCTTTATAATGACGTTTCAAAGAGATGGTCCCTGAGAAAGCTGGTGAGAGGCTCATTTAGCTTTAAAAAAGATTTACATACATATCAAAGAGTCATAGAAAGAACTTGCAAGTTTCCAAATATAAATACTCTCAGAAAAGGGGCAGGAGAGGGTCGGGACAGGGAGAGTCACTTCCCTTATTTTCAACAGGGAGAATTAAGTCTTGTTTTTCATTTGTATTTGTCCTTTCTGTCAACGCTGGGTAAACATTTGCCTACGCGTCCAAGGGAGAATATAGAGAAGCCTGTTCTCGGGAGCATGGCTTGGGGATACATGTGAAAAAAAAAGAATTGGCAATCTAAATGCTCATCTGTAGGGGCAAAATAAAATGGACAATTGCATACTCATACAAGGAGATACAGCAGTACAGTAACATTTCCATAAAAATACGTATTAAGAATTTAAAGGCTGTGTGAACCATTCAGAAAGATTAATGCCAAACTCCTGATTACAATTGCCTCAGGTAAGGGCTAGAATTGTGGATGCTGGTCACGGCCGACTTGAGCTTTTAAGATAATGTTTACATTTTTATGATACAGTTCGTTTTACACCAGTCAGTATGTTTCCTACGCTATCCCTGAAATGAACAGGAGCATTCCCATTTGCAACATAATACTTTAAAAAATAAAAGCGGCTTTGAATTAGCTTTACTTTTTTACGACATTTAATAACATCACCTATGATTTTGCCCTTCTTGGATCTTTCATATATTAGTTTACTTGCTAAATCAGTTAACCTTCCTAAGAACAATAGCTGGAATTAGTCAACTCAGAGTTAAAAATGGACATCTGCATTTGCGTGGGGTGAATTTTTGTTGCTGCCCACTCTAGCCAGTGTTGAAGAATAGACAATCGTGTAATTTAAAGAAGAGGCTTTATATGCATGTGAAACCATATGAACTACCCATATCTTTCATACAGCTCTTTGCTTTGAAAGATGAATACATGAAGCCGCCATTCTCCTTGTTTCTGATTCTCCAAGTAGTGTGAGCATGGTGGGAGGAGGAGGTGATATAAGCTAGAGTTACATATAAAATGCTGCTAGAACAATGTACATATCAGGAATTCAATCTACTGCCACCGAAAAGTCACCTGAATACCATCTGGTATGGTCCTACCAGGCCATTAGCATCTCCCAAATCAAACCCAGTGTCTTTCACTATTCTTCCTACTGTCAAACCTGCTCTAGAGGTTTAAGAATGTATATACTATAAGGTAAATAGGTTATGTATATGTTCACTCTAACATGTAGTGCTGTCTTATAGTAGTATGGTTATTTTGCTGATTTTTTTTGAACCACATTAAATTTATAGCTGCCATTTGCCTCCCTTTATGAAAACTTTGCTGTCGAGTCTAGTATGGCTTTAGTCATGCTGTGAAGTTGTGATCTGAGAGCGTACAGAACTTTAAAGAATACAGTGATTGCTTTAAGTGAAGTTTCATAATAACATTGGTTGAACTTGGCTTCAATTTCAATTCAACATACAGCTTCACTGTCTATCTGTAAGCTAAAGAGGAAATTCTATGGATTTGTTTTCTTTTATTGATTACAAACTGATACTTGTTAGTGCCAAGTTGATTCTGACTTCTAGCAACCCTGTGGACAGCAGAGCGGAACCCTGCCTGGTCTTTCTGCACCATCCGCTCCCCTTCCAGGGCTCTATCGGACAATGCTCTGCTGCTGTTCACAGGGTTTTCATGGCCATTTTTTTCAGAGGTGGCTGGCTGGGTGCTTCTTCCTAGTCTGTCTTAGTCTGGAAGCTCCTCTGAAACCTGTCCACCATGGGTGACCCTGCCGGTATTTGAAATCCCGGGGGCATAGCTTTCAGCATCACAGCAACACGCAGCTGCCACAGTGTGACAACTGACAGACACAAACTGAAATAATTTAGTGCTGTAAAGTACTGTAGTACTTTCATACTGGTTTGATTTAGAATGATTTTAACAGCTGGGAGCAGAATCTAATTTTTCATAGCATAACATCTTTAACAATTGAATATATAATTTCGACTTTTTGTACTACTTGAGCCTATTTCTATCCAATCCTATTTAACAAGGTGATGATTTAATGATAAATTCACGGTGTGTTGCTAATGGTGTGTAATATGTGTAATAGTCGACTCTGTACAGAAATGAATTATGGTTAAAATAGGAACCGATAACAGGATAGATACATAAGCCATTCCTCAGGTATATATAACGCTAAGCATATCATGTTCTGAAACAATAGTCACTGCTAACCAGAAATCAATTTATGTTTAAGCATTTAAAGACCTATTGCAGTATAAGATGAAGACGGATTGCTAAATCAATGTTAAGTTTAAAATATTGTGTTCTGATATTTTAAATTTATCTATTAAAATATTTCAGTGTTTTCTCACCATACATTTTTATGTAACTATAAAGGGAACATGAAATAAAGACTTCACTCTGTAGCAGACTTTTAAGGCATTTCACAACTC